CCAACTCTTGAGCCACGATCGCCAAGATAAATGTATATTGCATGAAACTGTATACTAGTTAAACTAAAGGAAACTGCAGAACAAAAATGTTTAATGATCTTAATGAGGGCATAATTAGCAGTCTTGATTTTCTATAAAAAGCCAAAGATATGATCTAAAAAAAGACTAGACGATATCTGACTTCTGTTACAGCCCGAAGTTAAAGTCAGACTTGTGTTGTGAAGCTATTCAGTACTGAAAGAGTTTCACTTGTCCTGTCCAAACAACAATCTAAATAACATTAAATTCATTTGTAAACTTAAAATTTGAATACTTTTACAAGTAATTCTACTTCTAGAAATTTCTCATTAATGTTGCTCTGGGACTATCACTGCAACTGACCAAATTTATGCTGTCACAGCTTTGGAAATCAGGGGAAATAACTATAACAACTATAGTTAATATAGTAATAAAGTGCTACTCAACCTGTTTACAGGGATTTATTTATTTGGGTTTGTTTGTTTTTTTTGTGAGCAGCTTTTTCAGCTGTGTCTCTGTGACATCAACCACAGAGGTGAATTCCCAGAGATCTGCAAGAATCATTTTTTTCACCTTCGCCAGGTTGATGATTTAAAATTGGACCTGATAAGGCAGGGGTGAAGGGGATTTAAGGGGAGATCTAACTATGACACAGAATTGATTAACAGCATGTTAATATATCTTTAGATGATAGATAATCCTCCTTCTCTCATTCTGATATCGGTCATAGTGCTATGATAATAATTTTATATGTTATTCAGCAGGCTTGAAACTAGCAGCTGAGCCCATAAAATCAGCAGGAAAGTGTTTACTGAGGTCGGAAAAATGGACGTGAATGCTGGCTTTAGACAGACCTCGATACAACAAAAGGATTTTTCTTTTACAGACTATGCTTGCAATGTTATGAGATCACAAAAATGTCACTTGGCACGGATTTGTTTCTTCCACAATAACATTGCAATTTCACATTGCGATTTGATTTTGTAACTACTTATCCACATGAAATCACATTTGATGTCTTTATTACTGAGTATTCAGTATATATTCTCTGAAAGTATTCAGGGATAAACTATTTGAGCCTAAACTGATGAAGGCAATAGCATCCTCATTGCCTACAGATATCAGTTCAGGTCCCTGGAAGCTCGATGGAGAAATCAAAATGATGCAAAAGCTCCACCTTTGTGGAAAACCCACAAAGACCAAGATACAGTCAAACATAAAAATAAACACCACTATTCTCTATAGCCAGCTGAGCGCTTTTCAACTGAAAGTAAGAAATCAGACAGAGATCACACAGGTGAACCACAGCAAACACACAGTGCCACAGGGTTAACAAAACTGGTCAAGATCATTGCGTTAGTAGTCAAATGTGTTAAACAAATATGGTCGATATGCATTACATTGAACCACAGAGTCATGATACTGATAGCAACTGGGGTTTAAGGGAGTGGGGAAGGGGTGAGATGGGGGAGGTATAGCGAGTCCTCGTCATGCCTTGAGTCTTACCTGACTTTCGGACTAACGTTAAAAAATGGACATGAGGAGAGAATAAAACATCATGAACAAACAGAGGAGTGGACAGAAAGACGAGAAGCCAGAGCACCGATGCAGGTTGGTACAATGATGACAAATGGCTGACTGCCTAACCAGCTGCCTGAAACGTTGTGCATGAGGGAGGACTTGCAAATAGGGAGGTGTTAGAGTATTCCAGCTCTGAGATCTGAATGACCCTTAATCTCTGAGGAGAAACATGTGCCTCGATAGCTGCTAAATGCGCCACTATTCTCATCAGTTAGCTATGGTTTGCCTGCTTTTTGTTGCTCTGCGGGTATGAAACACTTAGTTTTATTTGAGTTTTATCTGTTGTAGCTATAAGAAAAAAGGGGGAGAACAAAAAGACTGAAACCAAATAGTATAATAGTAATAATGTTTCAGGCCATGGAACCAAATCACATGTTTGTAAAATAAGACTTTAAATCTGATCTATTCTTACAACGAATTTCCATTATTTTCATTGTACATGTAAAATGACAATAGAAGGCTATTTTATTCTATTCTTTCCAACAAAAAAAGATTGCTATGTTGAAATTGGGGATCAGAATTTGTATTACATCAACCTCTAGTATCATAAATTATGCACGATACTCATGTTCTGCTGTTAATAAAACCTGGAAGGCACCTTGTAAAACTTTTTTATTTTTATAACATTTTTATTAAAATGTATTATCTTCTAGATGGACTGCACTGGAAGTTATTTGAACCAATTACTGCAGGAGAAACCAGTTTGTTAAACTATCTCTAAGCTAGATTGGTCAAACACACACACGCACGCACAGACATCACCCCTCAAACAGTGTGTGTTGATCTAACCCAGCACTCAAGGCCATGCAATCGAACGTGCTTCTAATTTCCTGTGGCTCAGCGTGCATGTGTGTCACGCTTCAGATATTCAATAACCCCTCCCTCTTCAGCCAGTTGCACAAGTGTCAATATTTTCATACAAGCATAAAGTTCAGCAGCTGCAGGGTGCAAACTGTAACCTCTGGGTGTGTTTGCGTGTGTGACACGTAGGGATCAGAATAATGGAAAGCTACATTGTTATTTAAAATCTTCTGACATACAAACAAGATTGTTTCAACTTAAAAACCTGCAGCTCTGTGAGTTTATCCATTTTCTGTGTGCAAACTGTATTTTTAGATCATGAGGTATCACAAGATTTCTTGTGCTGTTCAAAGTAGTTCATGAACCCTGTTCTGATTAACACTGCAGTATCTAGTCAAGCAGTAACTGTGTCTGAAAAAGACCCATTAAATTAAGATTCCCACGTCAGATATTAGGCTGTATAAAGAGACAAAGGTGATTCTGCCTGACACACTGAGTTGTCTAAATAAATCGCAACATAGCTACACCCTTTATCATCTATTTTATTCTAAATGCCACCATCACCAAGTTAATAGACCTAAACTTCCAGATGAGACCATAAAATCATCAT